TGACTCTTTTGCAGCCCACCAGACTCCTCTGTCCAAGGGATTTCCCAGGGAAAACTAGTGGACTGGATTGCCATTTCCTTCTCCAGGGGATCTTCCCGACCCAGGGATCAACCCCATGTCTCTTGCATTGGCCGGTGAGTTCTTTACCACTAAGACACCAGGGAAGCCCCCACTCCTTTTGCTAAGCATCAACTGTCTCTTTTTGAAATAACCACTGGACGTCCTATGCAGCAGATGAAGGCTTGTACAAATCAATATTATGTAAGGGTGATGATATGCTGCACTGTTGTCAGGGACTTCTTTTTTTTTTTTTATGATTATAGTGGCTTTTTATTGTATTGGATTCATACATCTTTCATTCCTGCATTGTTATTTTCCATCAGTGGAAGCTAGAATTCTGTTCAGTCACCTCAATTATCTTCTATCAGGCACCCAGGAAATTTTTCTCTATTTCGAATTTCAGTATGATGTATGGTAAAATTATTATAAATTCTCACAATGATGCTTCTTACTTCTCTAAAGGTCATGTCCTGTGTCAGTCACAAATAACATCTAACAGATGCCATCTTCTCTGAAATGATTAAAGATTGCTTATAGGTTTTATTTCTGGATGAGCTCCTGGATCATTAGATGTATTGCCCAGTGATTTTTTAAAAAACTGTTGGTACTTGACTTAATTTTTCAGTTTTACTTTCTGTAACATTATCTTTTTTATTTTTTTTAATTTTAAAAGTTAATTATTTTAATAAGAAGCTAATTATTTTACAATATTGTGGTGGTTTTTGCCATACATTGACATGAATCAGCCATGGGTGTACATGTGTCCCCATCCTGAACCGCCTTCCCACCTCCCCCCCGCCCACCCCATCCCTCTGAGTTGTCCCATTGCACCGGCTTTGAGTGCCCTGTTTCATGCATCAAACTTGAACTGGTCATCTGTTTCACATATGGTAATATACATATTTCAATGCTATTCTCTCAAATCATCCCACCCTCGCCTTCTCCCACCGAGTCCAAAAGTCTATTCTTTATATCTGTGTCTCTTTTGCTGTCTCGCATATAGGGTTGTCGTTACCATCTTTCTAAATTCCATATATATGCATTCATATGCTATATTGGTGTTTTTCTTTCTGACTTACTTCAGTCTGTATAATAGGCTCCAGTTTCATCCACCTCATTAGAACTGATTCAAATGCACTCTTTTTAATAGCTGAGTAATATTCCATTGTGTATATGTACTACAACTTTCTTATCCATTTGTCTGCCGATGGACGTCTAGGTTGCTTTCATGTCCTGGCTATTGTAAAAATGCTGCGATGAACACTTAGGTACACGTGTCTCTTTCAATTCTGGTTTCCTTGGTGTGTATGCCCAGTAGTGGGATTTCTGGGTCATATGGCAGTTCTATTTCCAGTTTTTTAAGGAATGTCAGGGACTTCTTAAGGTACTTAAGGAAAATAAAAGTGAAAGAAAGTGAAGTTGCTCAGTGGTGTCCAACTCTTTGCGACACCATGGACTGTAGCCTACCAGGCTTCTCTGTCCATGGGATTTTCCAGGCAAGAGTACGGATGTGAGTTGCCATTTCCTTCCCCAGGGGACCTTCCCAATCCAGGGATCAAACGCAGGTCTCCCCCATTGCAGGCAGATGTTTTACCCTCTGAACCACCAGGGAAGCCGCAAATGAAAAGCTGGTAATAATTCCTTCACAATGAGCTCCTAGAAGATGAAGACCTTTTGGATCATGGGTTGTAACCTGGATATTTTGTCTATTGGAAAAGGTATCAAATACAAGATTCTTTGCTGCTTCTTTGGAAAGGACCCTATCAGGTATTATTAAATAACATCTCTGTTGTAAAGCTGAAAGAAGTAAACCCTGGGTTCCTATCTCTCATTTTTTAAAAAGGGCTTCTGCTCCTAAATGAACTGTGACTCCTATTTCTGACACCTTGTCTTTGACTAAGACAAGCTGGATTAAGAAGTCACTAACAACAGCAGATAGCTAACCCAAGTGTCCAGAACAGCCCTGTTGGACTCATCCTACTAGTTCAATTGTACTGTCTCTCTGTCAACACTGAGCGTTTTTGTTTTACCTCTAGCTATACTTTTGCCCCCAGTGTTTAGGATGGAAAGAAAATTCTTTAGTCAAGTTGTCACAGAGTATAGGGGGGTCATTTAACCAATTGTTGGATTTGTCATCAAATTCCTCAGTCAATACAAGACTGATACAGGCCCCTCATAATTCCTGTCACTGAACTTTCAGATATTCCTAATGTTATCACTTACTTGGATTCATCTCCCTCTGGCTTAACCTTTCAGGTTCAAACTCCCCAGCCTATCAATGTATCCATCCCCTATCTGATACTATCCTTGGCCCTTAGAGATTGAACATGTCTTAGCCTAGGACACTTTTGCTCCATCCCTTACTTAACAAATGTCTTGAAGAGAAAAAGCAAGTAACTTGTGACAGCAATCCCCTATGTCCAGTATCATACAGATGGCTCTTGGAAAGCCTGCAAGAGAAGTGACCCATGGTTTAAAGCCATGTTAGCAAACTTTCCAATTGATGAGTCCATCAGTGAGAGCTCTCTTGGGAGGATGACTTTAGCTCCCTCAGGTTTTGTCTTCACATGTGGCGTTGGAATTAACACGCCTGTCCATGAATGACACATAAAGGGCTGGCAGTTATAAGGTCTGTGCTTATTGGGATGTTATGTCTATATAAAAGTGACAGCTGGACTGCATTTCTCTCTCCATTAAGAAATTAAGAGACCCTTGTTACAAGTATACCAAGATACCTGGTAGCAAAGTCTTTTGAGACTCTTGATCCCTAGGGCAGGAGTAGAAATAAAGAGAGATATAGGTGTAAATCTATCAGCCACCATTGGCCAAACAGCCAGAGTCTGCAAACAGTATGGAACATCCTTCAATTCCTTAACTCAGTTGTACTGGATAATACAATTCCCTACCATTTTCTTTTCATTTTTGATGTCTTTGTTTGTTTATTTGGCCATGCTGCTTTTGAGATCTTAGTTCCCAGATCAGGGATCAAACCCATGCCCCTGTATTGGAAGCTCAGAGTCCTAACCACTGGACCACCAGGCAATTCCCTACCTTTCATTTCCTAATGGCTAAATAAGGAGGTGTGCTACTGCTCACCCTGCTTACTGCACTTATATCAATACCTCTGCACAAGTATAGATGATCCTAGATAACACTCCCAAAAGACAAAATGTTATAAGATTAAAAAAAGAAAGAAAAAAAGAGATCCTTTTAATGATCTATTTAGTTGGCTCCCTTCAGGACTAGGTATTTTTTTCACTCAGTTTTACAGATGACTATCGTTTTCATTTTATGTATTATTATCCTTTTAGTAGCTTTCAAGCTACTCATGGCATGTATCACTACATGCTTCAATTCAACTTCTAAAAGTACACGTACAATGTTTGTGTAACAAATCAATATGACTGATAACATGTATAGCCTATAAAATGTTTCCCTATCACCATATACCTGTCAGCCACTCCTATTAAAATGACTGCCGACAACTCCAAGCCTCTTTGCCTAACAGTCAGCCATATCCACTTCAACGAGAGGCACAGAACAGAGAAAGACTTACATTGATGAAAAATTAATCAATAGTCGATCTAAAGGAGAAATAGATGGTTTTCTTTGAGCCAACCTAAGAATCACAACCCTAGAAATAGTATTTCAGAAAACTCTAACGCACAGAAGTCGAAGGCACAGTTATATATATATTTGAGACAAAGGATCATGTATCAAAATGACACGCTGACATTTTACATAAAGTTCACCAAAGATACATAGTCCAGATCTACACATAGGAAGTAGTGCAGGTTACAAAATTAGGAAAGCATTAAGAAAGTTATAATCTAAGGATTACATTGCTGGCATCAAAAGAAGGGGGAGAAAACATTGATCTTTACGGTTGAGCAGACCTTGCTGCCTTTGGGGAGGCCTGGTTAATGTATAATGCAGGCGCACACTGCTCAGTAGGAAGGGCCCAGTACAGGCAGGCAGCTGTTATGCTTAAAATTTTCTTATCTTCCCTTAAAACTTAAGATCTGCTCCACAGCGATTGTGTCTCCCTCTCCCTCCCACCCCCCCCACCTCCCAAGATGAACAGTCACTGGAATACCCAGAAAACTCACACCTCGCGATGGCCACAGCTCTTTCTCCCACGGGGGGAGAGGGCAGCACTGCTCTGCAGGTAAAAGACCAGGTCCGCGCAACCCACGAGGGTGCATCCTTCCTGGAAAGGCAGTGCCTGGGGCTGACTGGCCCTGACATTGGGTCGGGTTGGGGTGGGGGGCACTCCTGGTGTATGTGCACCCCGAGAGAGGGGTTTGTAGAGAAGAGGAAGGCCTTGTGTTCATCATTTAATACATCTCTGGTCTGGAGAATATGTGTAAGAGTAAGAACATTCCCGTTCACACAGGAATCAGTCATTCACGGAATGAGTGCAATCAAACACCTAGTCTCACAATAACTGGATGGCAGTGCAGGTCACTGGGCTCTCATTCAGCAAGCCAGATCCCCACGCCCAAGGTGGGGCCTGCAGAGCACCGGGTGGGCGCCAGCTGGATACGTGCAGCCACGTGCAGCCTACACCTGTAACTGCAGCCGCTCCGGAGCACAGGTGCGCCCCTCTACTCTAGGGCAGTGGGAACATATTTGCAACTGAAAAGTTTGGAGGCCACCAACAGTTATCTTTTTTGTTTCATCAAAATTTTATTAACAAAACCAGAGTTGGGGGAGGCCTGGGTGAGCAGACTCCACAGTCCCACCCAGGCACAGAGAAAGGAGAGACAAAAGACGTGAAATCCCAAGGCCCTACTACGGGCAGACGGGCAGTCAGACGGTGGACGGATGGACACAGATTCGAGGGCCGTTGGAGAAACATGAATGGCAGACCAGACAAACGGGGGTCCAGGGCCGGCCCGCCCGTGGCGCAGGGAGAGAAGACGCTGGGCCGCCGGGGCTCAGCGCTCGGCGCTGGAGCGCAGGTCGGTGGTGAGCGGGTCGTGCTGGATGGTCTGGTGCAGCATCAGGGCCAGCAAGCCGGCCCTGTTGGTCATGGCCGTGCGAACGTTGCGCTCCTGCTCAAACAGCTCGTCCAGCTTGTACCACTGCGCAGGGAGCAGAGGCCTTCAGCAGCGGCCCTGGAGCCCCGCTCCACTGGACCCCGGCCGCGTCCGCACACCCGCGGGCAGGGCCCAGCGCGCGTCAGGACCTACCACGCGCACGCGCTCCAGGTCCACCTCGGCACGCCGCAGCTTCTCCCAGCAGTAGTGCCGGTTGCACTGGCGCTTGGGCAGACGGCAGAAGTCACCCGTGAGCTCGAAAACATCCCTTACGAGGGGGCACCCGCATACCTCGTCAGCTGGCACCTGCGGGGAACCCGGGGTGGGTGGGGCAAGTGGCAAGTTCGGAGGAGTGGGAAGGAACGAGAGGGGAGGTGGGGGCAGAGGGAAGGGAGGAATGCAAGGAAGGGCTGCATCAGAAAAGAAGGGGTGAACATGGGCGGAGGAAGGGAGCGGTGGGAAAGCCTTACTTTGGGGTCCCGTGAGTGCTCGGGGCATAGCACCTGGAGCCGCTTACAGTACGTCTTGCTCTGAGGGTTGTAGACGTCGCAGAAGAGCCGTGTGGCCCTGGGGGTGTGGAGCGGAGGACGTGGAAGAGGAGCACGGCAGCGCCCCCGCCCGCACCAGCCGGCGGCCACTTCTGACCCCGCCTTCGCCCCGCGCTCATCCCTCACGCGCCCACACTCACCCCTCGATGCGGGTGGGGTACATGGACCCAAAGGACGTCTGGCTCTCGTACTGGAAGGGCGAGCACAAACGGAGGGAACTGTGGGCGTGCGCTGCGGGCCCTCGCCAGACGGCCCACCTGCCCCCCACGGACCCCGCGATGTCCCCACACCATCCACCCCCTCGGGCCAACACCCTGACCTTGGCGTAGCAGCGCTCCATGTGGCGCAAGGCAACGCGTGGGTTGATGGGGTGCCCGCAGGAGACGCAGAAGATCTGCAGATCTGTGTCGTCACTGTCACCCTCGTTGCTCTGCGCGGGCGGAGGGGACCATGAGGCCGGACAGGGCCAGGAGCAGGGCCCTGCGCCGGGCTGCCCCGGCCGCGGCCCTCACCTCCTCATCCTCGCGCACCGCCTGCTGCTTGGCGCGCAGGATGATGGCCTCGAGCTCGTGGAAGCGGCGCTCCATCTCCTGCAGGCGGGTGCGCGCGCTCTGCTGCTCCCGGCGGATGCGCTCGAGCAGCTTCTTGCCGTGCTCCTCGGCGATGCACGGGCTTTGCTGCCACTGCTGGATGCGCTGCGGGAGGATCTCGTAGATGCGGCTGCGGAGACGCGAAGAATTGGGTGCGCAGGGGAGGAGGCCAGCAAGGAGGCGGGTAAGTGGGGTGCTCCAATGCACGATGGAAGGGGACTCAAGGGTAAAAGGGTGCGTAACCAGGTAAATGAATGGGCAGAGGATGGGTGTGTGAGCAGGTGGACGGACAGGTGGGTGCTTGGTTGACTGAACAGTGGCCATGTGACTGACTGGGGGCTCCGGTCATGCCCTACCGTGTCCTTCCCGACTCCCCCGAGACCCCCAAAATGACTCACTTGGCCGCCAGCTTCATGCCGCAGTCATCGGAGCAATACTTGGAGCTGGGCTGGGCGGCGCGCACGCAGCCAGGCCCCAGGCACTGCGGCAGCGACGCAGGGTCCTTGGCGTCTGCCCGCTCCGGGTGTTTCCATTTGTCCTTGTGCTTCTGCTTCTGTCGATGGCGCTTGTATCTTTCGTCCTTCTGTGGGACGACACGCGTAGGGTCAGGGCAAGGCTAAAGTCGCCCCCGGACCCCTGATGCCCCCGGCGCCCCAGCCTGTCCCCTCCCCACACCCACCACCCTGTCACCTTCTTCTCTGACTTCTTCTCCCGCCGCTTCACGTGCTTCACTTTCACCGCCCGCTTCCGCAGCGCCGGGTCCAGGAACGGGGACTCCTCCGTGTCGCTCATCCAGGGCTGCCAGGGAGGCAAACGCTGATGCTCCTGCGCTCCCGGGGGCCTCCCCACGACCTACTCAGTCCCCGCATCAACCTTCCATACCCTCTGCCTCCTCTCTCCTCATTACGGACACTCTCTGCTTCTGTAACCTCTACTTGATGCGAAGAACTGACTCGTTTGAAAAGGCCCTGATGCTGGGAAAGATTGAAGGCAGGAGGAGAAGGGGACGACAGAGGATGAGATGGTTGGATGGCATAACCGACTCGATGGACATGAGTTTGAGTAAACTCGGGGAGTTGGTGATGGACAGGGAGGCCTGGCGTGCTGTAGTACACGCGGTCGCAGAGAGTCGGACACGACTGAGCGACTGAACTGAACTCAACTGGACTGACCCTTCCACCATGGGGCGCTCTGCCTGCTCACCAGGCTGTGGTCATCGAAGGCCCCTGCACAGAAGTCCTGGTACAGTTCCGAGTCCAGTGGGAGGTCCTCGTCCGAGAGCGGCTCGGGTGTCGCCGTGGCCTCCGGTGGCTCCTTGACTGCCGCAGATGCCACTGCCCCCTCGTCCTCTCGGAGGCGCCCCAGCTTCTGCGATGGCTGCGGCTGCGGCTGGGTGGGCAGGGGCCGGCGAGGCCTTGGCAGGGACTCTGAGGGCGTCACCGGCGAGAGCTGCGGGGCAGAATCTCAGGACTGGCCCTGACCGCCCTGCCCGCATGCCCCGCCCGCCCTGGGGGGCTGGACTCACCGAGGAAGGGAAGTACTTGTACGATTCCTGTGCCGGCAGGAGGAAGGCCCAGGTCAGCCCCAGGTGGAGGGAGGGGGGCCCTGCCCTCGCCCTGCCAAGTGCCTGACCCCACCCACCAGCCCAGCCTCACCTCCCCAGACACACCAGCCTGCCCGCAGCTCAGCAGCAGGACACCCTGCCCCAGCCAGGCCCGACCACCTAGAAATGCCTGGCCCTACCCTGTCCACCTGGGGCTGGGGGCTCCCCTGCCAACCCGGCACATCTGGTCACACCCCGCTCATCTGGACAGGACAGGCCGCTCGCCACCTGTCTGAACGCGGTTAGACCCCACCCTGCCTGCCCCTGCCGGCTCTTCCTGGACACGCTGGTCCCCCGCCTGACCCCGCCCAGCTCTGCCCATGCTCACCCGGGCCCGAAGCTGGCACTGACGCAGCCGGCACTTCTGCCGGATCTTGTTGGGGCCCCCAAATTTCTTCATGTCTCGGCAGAAGTCGCAGTGGCCACAGTCCTCCGTGCGCCGGCAGGCCTCGCACTCGCCACACATGCGGGCTGATCGTTTGATCTGCTGCTGCTGCTGCTGCTGGTGATGCTGGCGGAGGGGCCCGGAACTCAGGAACCAAGCAGGGCCTCCGAGGGGAGCCCCTCACCGATCCCAGCCATCGCCGCCACTCACCTGGCTGGGCGTGGCCACCAGGGGCTGTGGAGAGGATTTGTGGGGCGAAGCGGATCCCCGAGCAAGCATGGCCCCAACCCCTGTTCCTGCCCCTGCCCTGCGCTGCAGGTCCGGATCCGGGGCAGGCCTCTTGCGCCCTCCACCCTCATCCCGGGGCTCACTGCCGTCTCGCTCGGAGCTGTCTCGCTCCCGCGACTTCTTATGCCTGTAGCGGATCTCCAGCTTGGGGTCCTTCTCTGTGGGGCAGAGGGCAGGGCCAGTGGGGGTTGGCATGGGGGGACCTCGAGGAGACCCCAGAACTCTTTCTTCCTCTTCTGGCCCACCCACCGGCTCTGTCTCCCTACTGCAGGGCAGAGCTGCCCCTTCTATCACAGCTCACAAGGCACCAACCCGCAGTCGCTCTGCTCACAGCCACCCATCCGCTGCTCCCCACGACCCACCCTCCCATGAAGGCTCCTCTTCCTCCCTCGAAGCCCCGGCTGCCTGCCCCTCACCTCGGCACTCCCGACAGTACCACTCTCGGATGGCCTTGGCCATCTTCTCAGTGATCCGGATGCAGTCCCCGTGAAACCATTCATTGCAGTTGTCACACCCGCTGCGGAGGATGGGGCGAGTGATGGGAGACGTGAGGGGCGGGACCCACTGGCCTCACCCCACCTGGCCAGGTGTCCGTCCCGCCCGCCTCTCCCGGGCTCACATCATGAAGCAGTTAATGTCTGGTTTGCGGCAGATGCAGTAGATGGGCGCATTCTCCCCATTCTCGGATTTGCTGTCCTCCCCGGCGTCTGGAGGCTCTGGATCTGAAGCGTCGCCCTCCTGTGGGACCCGCCCCCCCATCATGGCACCTCATCCGACTAGTACAGGCCCATCATGGCTCACCACACATCTCAAGTCTCCCAATGCAGACTTCCCATCACAGCTCCTCATTAAATCTCTCCATCGTAGTCCCTGGAGACCACCCCCCATCGCTCACCCCTGATACCTCATTACTCTGCTTCTTCACTCTTGTCTCAGACTTTCCAATCACTTATCCCACTGACACCCCCATCACTAGACACCCACTCATATAATGGCTCGCTGCAAACACCCCGCCACTCCCCACATTTTGCCCCTGTCATGGCTCCTCACGGGCCCCCCATCACAGGCTCTCATAGGCACCACTTTATTCATTCGGCAGACTTCCCAGCACGGTGCCCTTCAGATTCCGGAGTGATCAACCTCACCGGCGGCCCCGCCCCCCGGATCCCTGGATACGGACTCATCACGGCTCCCTCCAGACTGCCCCAACACAACTCGTCGAAACTCCCCCCATCACTCTGCACAAAGAATCCCCCATCGGGACCCTCAAGGTACTACCATCAGGGATCCCCGCTAAACTTCCATTACAGACCCCCATAATGGCTCATCAGAGAACTCCCCGAAGGTTCCCCCACGAGTAAAAATTCGGACCATCAGACCCCCGTCATTCTACCCAGGGACCCTGGTTAAGGCTCACAACAGACCCTCCCCCCTCCCCCATTCTGCCTACAGTCCCTGGTTATGGATCACCACAGACCCCCACGAGCCTACCAATGGACTCCACCATTTCCTACCTCACTGACCTCTAACCGCCGACTCCCTCCTGGGACCGCGCACTTACCATCTCTCGGCTACCGACGCACCCGTTCGCGAACCCCGCCAGCGACCCGCGAACCTGCACAGACCACTCGGCGGCGTCCGCGGCCGTTGCACAGGCGCCCACAAGCACTTCCGCTTTTCCTGGTACCTCCCAGGCACCGTACTCCTACTGCGCAGGCCCAGTGCGTCGGTTCCGCGACACACAAGTTGTTGTCGCCCGGCTAGAGCTCTGACAGTCTCCGAGGTGCCGCCATCTTGACTACTGAGACCGTACGGCGGCCGAATCCGTGTGTTCTCGGGAAACATGGCGGCGCCCGTAGTTCATCTTTAACAAGGGAGCCGCCATCTTGTCGGCCGGCCTAGTCCGTACAGTCACTACCTGTACGGCCGCTAAGTTTAGGCAATATGGTCGCCCCTACTGCGCGACTTCCATGCTGACGCCGCCATCGTGGAATCGTACGCTCAGTGGCAGCGTCCTAATCGGCCACCGAGAGGGCGCCGCCATCTTGCCGGTGGATTCTGGCGCCAGCAGCTGGTACTGCCTAGATGTCTATAGGGAAGGGGGCCCGCTTTTAGGAACACTACATGGATTGAGTCGTTCTTTCCACTATTCAGTCGTTTTTCCTTTCCGCGTCTACTAATGGACGTCTGTATACTGTGTGCCTTATGCTAGGAAGGAAAGCAGTCCCGTCGTTATGCCTCCCACATTACTTCTGACTAAGGAAATTTTTGCCTATTAGGGGCAGGGGAAGCCCAGTCAGGCTTATATCTGAATTGGCCTAAACTTTATGTAAAACTGAAACAACCTGATTTATGATCTGTCAAGTACACGTTGTACATTTGTTCTAACCACTGCGATTAAAGAATGTGTAAGGTATAGTTCCCGTGAGGCAGAAAAGGAAAGAGGACCTCAACAGAAGTAGGTTAACTTTATTCAGGGCAAGGACGGGCGACAGTCGGCTTAACGACCAGGCTGAGCGCTGAGAGGGATCAGGGAGGCTCCATATTTATAGGGAGGTTTGTGGAAGCAATAAGGGAAACGTTAATCAGGCGGGAAATTTTGAGTAGTCTTTAGTTGAGATGACATTTGTAGTTGGGCAGAGGGTGATAAGTCTTCTGGGCGGGTGTAGGGGGTGGAAGGTTTCTGGACAGGGGGCGATAAGTCCCAGATGGATGCAACAGGCCTGGAGCATCAGTGTGGAGGTAAAGTTCTGTTTTGTTTTCTCCCAAGTTAGATGATTCAACGAGGGCCTTTGAGACTGTTTTCTTTTCTAGGCCCAAAAGACACCTTCAGAATGCCCACTTTCGGATAGGGAGAAATGCCTTCCTTTTGTGGTGAAGCAAACCTGCTTTCTCCAGTAATTATTAACTTACCAGAGTTTCCCATATTTTTCTACTTAGAATCCCCTAGGGGGGGATTAACTACTTAATCACCTATTTTTGTCCCTTCATTCTGTCCCTTATTATTCCTGTGACACCAATGCCAGCACTCCTTGGAGGATAAGGTTCCTGTCCCACATGCCAAGGTCATGCTCACTCACTGTGTGTCTGCTAATTTGTAACTACATATTGCTGTTGAAACCTTGAAGGAACGTACCTCTGCCGTGTTTGATGTATTAATATGTTCTTTTTTCTGATGCTGTATAAAACTGTTGAAAACTATGCTTCTCTAGAGTGCTTTCTTCCTTGGTGGAGGCTCCTGCACTCCTGGGCCAGTCCTCAGCTTGGTTCAGGTGAAAGTCTCTTCTGTTCTTTAATGTAGATTGATTGTGTTGACATCTCCCACCACTGTTTGCAGCTCACTCCTCCCAGCAGTGCCTTAGCCAGGCCTACCTGATGATTCAGCCTCTGGGCCTCTACAACAGCACTCATCCATCAGAATTAGGCAACAACTGAAGGCCATATACGATGGTGACCTGACCATCTCTGGTGAGAATGGCTGGACCAAAGTAGATTTTTAAATCAGCAACCACCAGCTTCACCAAGTCTTCCCTTGACCAAACACAGTGGGTCTGTCATTTGAGTTATTTAGCTGATAAGCACATCAAGAACTTCCTTGTCACAAGTAATAAACAGATAATAAAGCAGCAGCATTTATTATTTGTTACTTGTGACAAGAAAGGAGACAAGGAGATATTTCTCAAAGCACTGTGTCCCTGGGGGCATTTTTAAGTTAAGCATGGAGGGAGGCATGATCATTATAATGAAGCAAAGGTTACGCTAGTTTGCCCAAAACTTCAAGTAAGTAGGCACTTGGTTACTTGCTCTCACTTTAATATCTTTTGACTGGAATGCACTGTAACCTTTTTAGAACATCTAGTGGCTGCAACTTTCTGCAAAACAAAACTCACTGGTTTAAACCCATCCTATCCCTAGCTAACATCCACCACCAGAGTGTAGATTATGCCCACTTCCTGGCGATGTCCACTTGGGTTCTCTTGTTTCATATGTATTCAGTTTTCTCTCCCATAAATTTAATTTAAAGTTTTAAAAAAATTTATGTAATGTATAACAAAAGATCCCCAGACTGGAGAGGCCGACGTTTCCTCAGGGTAATGCGCTAAAGTGGGCAACCATGAAAATCAAATAAGATACAAAGTGTCAGTACAACCCCTCCCCCCAACACATACACAGCCTGAAAGGGGAGGTTGTCATTATAAATGTCCTCATGTCCACATTCAAAGCCAGAATAACTTTATTCGTTTCAGGTTTAAGGGAACCTTGTAAGTTTCAGTTCAGTCCAGTCGCTCAGTTGTGTCCGTTTAAGGCAATATAATTCAATTTAAATTAAATTTAATTGCATGCATGCATGACAGAGGATGAAATGGTTGGATGGCATCACCAACTCAATGGACATGAGTTTGGGTAAACTCCGTGAGTTGGTGATGGACAGGGAGGTCTGGCCTCCTTGTGATCCTATGGACTGTAGCCCGCCACACTCCTCTGTCCATAGGACCCTCTAGGCAACAATACTGGAGTGGGTTGCCATGCCCTCCTCCAGGGGATCTTCCCAACCCAGGGACTGAACCTGTGTCTCCTGTGTTTCCTGCATTGCAGGCTGTTTCTTTACCCACTGAGTCACCTGAGAAGCCCTAAATTTAATTTCTCAAGCTAAATTTAATGTAACATAATTGAATTTGGATTTATTCATGCATGCAATTTGCTTTAAAATAATTTAATATTAAGTTAATGTATGAAATTCAATGTCTTACATATTAATTCCAATTTAATTTTAGTTCAATTTATTATATTTTATATAATATGGTTTAATTTAATTCATCCAAGCTTAATTTTACACATTTAAATTTTAATTCAAATTCACCTTAATTCATTAAACTAAAATTTAATATCACTGAGTGAACTAAATTTATAGTCAGTTCTATATTTTTGAAATATTTTTATTAAAACATGATTTAATTATTAGATTAAATATTTATTTAAATGATTTATTTAATTAAAAAAAGTGAAAAAACAGAAATTACCCCCATGATAAATGAAAAAAGAGCCATCAGTACAGATTCTACAGATATTGAATAGAGAATATTATTCATACATCTATACCAACTTAATATATTTGACAACTTAGATAAAATGGGCAAATTTCTTGTCTTTAGCAAGACAATTTACCAAACTAAGAAACAGAAAATACGAGTAGCCATATTGATATAAAATTATTTGAATTTATGATTAAAGACCATCCCACAAAGAAAGCTTCAAGTCCAGGTTAGTTCACCAGCAAATTCTGTCGAATATTGAAGGTGGAAAGATAGTAATCCTAAATAAATTTTTTGAGAAAACAGGAGAGGAAGGAATATTCCCAATTCCTTTTGGGAATCATTTCTCTGACACCAAACTAGAAAAAGACATTACAAGAAAGGGAAATAATAGACCAATATATCCCATGAACATAATGCTGCAAAATTTGAGAAATGGTCTCCAAGAAACCACCTTTATTTCTGACATCATTGTAGGGTTTAAGGGTTCCCCAAGACCATGCTTACTTCTGACACCAAATGCAAATCTGGGGATCCCCAACTAATTTGCAAGAAGGACTTAGCAAACTCACTCAAAGTTGTTACACCCAAAGTTATCCAGGAAGAAGATACAGATTAAAATCAGTCATAGGATAAAGTCCAGGAGGGTTCCAAATGCAGGGCCTCCAGTTATCCTCTCCCTGAAGAATCACGGACAGGCTTAGCTGCTCCCAGGGACGATATATGACAATATGCATGGAATTGCCTACCAGAGACACTCACCTGAGCCTTGGCATCCAGAATCTTTACTGTGGTCCCATTACATAGACACTGCTGACTGCCCATGTGCCTGATCTCAGTTTTTAACCCTTTAGGAGGTTGAGCTAATACCATGTGACCCAAAGTCCTTATCCTAAACAACATTGCTAGACTTTGTGACATGACCAGCCCCAACCTAAATTACTATATTGACTATCAGTTCAGTCAGTTCAGTCGCTCAGTCATGTCCGACTCTTTGCAACCCCATGGACTGGAGCACGCCAGGCCTCCCTGTCCATCGGCAACTCCTGGAGTTTACTCAAACTCATGTCCATTGAGTCAGTGATGCCATCCAACCATCTCGTCCTCTGTTGTCCCCTTCTCCTCCTGCCTTCAATCTTTGGCAGAATCAGGGTCTTTTCTAATGAGTCAGTTCTTCAAATCAGGTGGCCAAAGTGTTGGGGTTTCAGCTTCAGCATCAGTCCTTCCAATGAATATTCAGGACTGATTTCCTTTAGGATGGATTGGTTGGATCTCCTTGCAGTCCAAGGGACTCTCAAGAATCTTCTCCAACACTACAGTTCAAAAGCATCAATTCTTTGGTGCCCAGCTTTCTTTATAGTCCAACTCTCACATCCATATATGACTACTGGAAAAACCATAGGTTTGACAAGATGGACCTATATTGACTATAAAGTGACTAAAATATCCCCAGGCAAACAAAGACATTCCTGTGAGGAATAACACTGATGGGCTTAGATATTGCCACCCAAAGCCAAGTAGGGCAGAAGGCAGACCTCTCTTTGTTTAGTCATTAAGTCATGTTGACTTTTTTGTAATATTTGTAAAATGTAGTATTATTCCATTACATAAAAGAATGAAGTACTCATATACCATGCTATAACATGCATGAACCTTGAAAACACTCAAAATAAAAGAGGAAACACACACAAAAAGTTGCATATGATTCCATTTATCTGAAATGTCTAGAAGAGGCAAATCTGTAGCAACATAAAGTAGACATCCTTGTTTTGTTCCTGCCCTTGAGGGAAAGTATTCAGTCTTTTATCATTAAGTATGATGTTAGCTGTGGGCTTTTTTGGACCTTTTATCAGAATGATGAAGTTCCCTACTATTTCTTGTGTGTTAAATGTTTCGTTTTTTGAATTATGAAAGGCTGTTGCATTTTGTCAAATGCTTTTCTGTGTCTGTAGATGAGATTAATATTCTATAAATATTGATTTATAAAGATTGATGTTTTTTAACATTAAGCTGTGCTTGCATTCCTGAAATACACCCCACTTGATCATTGTGTATGATCATTTTATATGTTGCTGGATTTGATTTGCCAGTAATTTATTGAGGATATTGTTTTATACTCATAAGATATCTTGGTCTGCAACTTTATTTTTCTGTGATATTTTTGTCTGGTTTTGCTATCAGGGTAATGCTAGCCTCTACCTCTGATGAGTTGGAAGTGTTACTTCCTCTTCTACTTTTTTCTGAAGAGTTTGTGAAGACTTGATATTAATTATTCTTTGAATATTTGATAGAATTCACCAATGGAGTCATCTGTGTTGGGCTTTTCTTAGTGGGAAGTTTTAAAATTACTAATTTAATCCTTTTGCTTGTCATAGGTCTACTCAGATTTTCTATTTATGTTATAGTCATATTTTGTAGTTTGTGTCTTTCTAGGAACTTGTCCATTTCATCTAAGTTATCTAACTTATTGGCAGTGATTTACACTATTTTAAAAAATAATCGGTTACTTCAGTAAAGTTGGTATTTCATTTTTGATTTTAGTAATTTGAATCAATCTTCTGTGTTTTTCCTCCTGGTCATTCTAGCTAATTCATCATTTAAAATACTTTTTCGAAGACCTAACTCTGTTTTTTGCATCTTTATTTTATTCATTTGCACTTTAATCTTTATTAGAGTTCCTTCTGATTGCAGTGGGTTTAATTTTCTTTCCTTTACCTATTTATTTTAAGCTAAATAACTAGACTGTTTATTTGAGTATAATGGACTCTAAAAAGAGAAACTAAGCAAGTGAACAATCAAAAGTCAGTTTTCCAGCAAAGCACACAATAAGACAGGCAGTAATGTGGGAATTCTAGAAGCATACCTCCAACTAATAGAAAGCTCAGCCTCATGGTTGAGTAGGGGAATAAAAGATTATATATGATCTTTTTATGTGTTTGATAGGGGTTGTGTTGAACTGGTAGATCAGTTTGGGGCAGGTCAACACAACACTTATCAAACCCTATCAAAATCCTACCTTACTTCTTTGAAAAATTAAACAAGCTTATGGAAATTTAAGGAATTCAGAATATCCAAAACAATATTTTCAAAGAATAACAAAATTGTTTGACTCACAAATTCCTGCTTAACAGGGGCTTCTCTGGTGACTCAGTCGGTAAAGAATCTGCTTGCAATGAAGGAGATGGCCTTCAGCGCAGGGGACCCGGGTTCCATCTCTGAGTCTGAAAGATCCCCTGGAGAAGGAAATGGTAACCCACTCTAGTATTCTTTCCTGGTAGATCCCATGGACACAGAAGCCTGGTGGCTACAGTCCATGGGGTCGAAAGAGTCTGTATGACTTAAACGTTTTTCCTCTACAAACACAGGATGTCATTCTTTCCTCTTAAATGAGTCCTGACTGAAGATCCAGCTGGGCAGGCTGGCTTGGACAAGTGTCTGGAATGTAGGGCCCAAGTCATTAACTCCCTTCTTTTTCCCCTTCCTCCTCCCATGTCCAGCTCCCTGCCCTCCAACTCCTCAACTGCCCGGGTCGCGAAGAGAAGAGTGTTATGCCTTTCACCTCCCAGTGTCCCAGAAAGCCAGAAAGTTGTCTTTACATTTTCAGAGTTCCGGGTACCTTCAGCCGCCGCCGCCTTGGCAGGATGCCTCAAATCACAGCGACCAGTGAGGAGTGCTTCCAGGAGCGGCGTCCTGGTTGCCCCCGGCTACCCACGGCGCGCGGTTTGCACCTGGCCGGCAGTGGGCAGCGTGACCATGGCAACGTAGGACGCCGAAACGAGCTACTTCCTCTCGGTTGAGGCGTCGAGATTCTCTACTCCACCTCGCTGGATATTTTCCAGTTTCTGCTAGGAAGGCAAGCTATGTAGTATGCCATTCCTCTTGGAAAAGTTGAAGGTCAAAATACAACTCTAATTGATACAGCTAGTTGTATCTTATAATGGGAATAAAGGGTTGGTTACATGCCATCTGATCCTAAGAGTGCACAGTTCAGGCTTTCTTAGCACGTCGGGAAGACTTTTGTGATTTTTGTTATTTATTGTACTGGCTTAAAATGGCGGCGGCGGGGGGGCGGGAGTGCCCCTCCTGATCAGGCGAAGGAGAGCGAGGTCATGGTAGTGGCCGTGGCCCTTCCGCCGCCTTCCGCAGCACCCGTGGCCCCGCCCGCGCCGGGTCCCTTATGCTGCCTGCTGCTGCCGCGGCTTTGGCATCGGCGGCAGCGGCCCCAACCGGAGACCCCGGGCACTCCTAGAGCTCCTCATCCCGCCAAGGAGCCCCGAAAGTCGAGTCCCGCGTGAGGTCTGTCCGCCCTCTGCAGTCGTCCAACCTCGGAACCCCTTCTTGGGAGGGTGGGTTTTCATAATGGAAGCACTGTATCCCTCGGCGATCAGGGCCTCAGCTCAGCAAGAGGCCCGTGCTGTCCCAGAGCCCGGCACTCCCCTGGGGAGACTTCGTCATACGCTACCCACCGCCAGGGTGAGCTACCCACCTACAGGGTGACTCTCAGCCGCGCCCCAGGGACGGGGCGGGGCCCCTGCGTCTTCCTGGCCGGGTCTGAAGACAGCTGCTGGGCGACCTTCACTCCCACGGGGAAACACGTGTCGACATACGGAGAACGTAACTAAGCTACATCAGGAGGTACTGCTGCCTCCTCGTTCATTTTGTTTGGCCAAGCGGTTTGCAGAGACCTTAAACTGACACCAGCCCCCTCACGCAAGCACGCACCCTCTATGGCAGCTACGGAGTCACAAGCAAACGTAAGTTCCTGAAATGCCTTCCCCAATAGCTCTTGTGATCAACAGTCTCTCCCGCATCCCAGCGCCTGGATGCCTTATGCACCCCTTAGATAGACCTACTGTGGCTTACCAAAACTCTGGTCTGAATGGATCACTGGGACCCTATCCTAGGAAGCTCAAAGCACTCCACCCAGGGACCCTTATGATAAAGGCATGTGCCCCACATCCTGCCTCTCTGCACCCTGTCTTGACCTGAAGACCACTGGAGAAACGAAGGTCCTCCAGGACCTGTGAGTAATAAGCTTATCTATTTTAATTACACTTGTGGTCCTGTTGCCACCATCCTGCTCCTATACTCCACTTGTGTGCTTATGTGTGTGTGTGTTAGTCGTTCAGTCGTGTCTGACTCTTTGCGACCCCATGGACTATAGCCCACCAGGCTCCTCTGTCCATGGGATTCTCCAGGCAAGAATACTGGAGTGAATTGCCATGCCCTTCTACAGGTGTGTGTGTGTTATTGTGTTAGTTGCTCAGTTGTGTCCGACTCTTTGTGACCCCATGTACTGTAGCCCGCCAGGCTCCTCTGTCCATGGGATTTTCCAGGCAAGAATAGTGAAGTAGGTTGCCATTTCCTTCTCCAATGGATCTTCCCAACTACAGGGGATCTTCCCAACTCAGGAATTGAACCTGGGTCTCCCACAGTGTGGGCATTCTTTACCATTTGAGCTACCTGGGAAGCCCTATACTCCACTTAACAAATGTTGATTTAACAAAGGCACAAGATTGGTGGCAGAAGACAGGAGCCCATGACCAAACCACTCTTATCCTCCTCAAGGACTCAGCCCCGTACCCCTACCTAGGAAGAGCCAGATCACAGAGCCCTGGTCCAGCCAGTTCATGTATGGGGACGGGTGGTGTGAAGAGCATGCTGCCTGGGACCCGGGTCACCCTCAGGAAGGCAGGAAGTGCATCATGGGCCCCTGGGGACCGTGAGACCCAGGAGCGGGAGTCAGGAGAGCTGCTGCCTTGGCAGGCTGGGGTTCGCAGCCCGTCAGGAGCAGGGGCCACCTGGACCTGCTGCAGGAAGGCGGTTGCCCTCCACGGCCCAGACTGGGCTCTTGTCTAACACTTGGGAATACGTTGTCCAAGGAGACACACATGCTGGCAAAGCGAGAGGCTTTTCTGGGAAGGGGCGCCCGGGTGCAAAGCGGGAGGGTGAGGGAACCCTGGAGGAGCGCTCTGCCTCGTAGTTCGCAGTCTCAGGCTTTATGGTGATGAGATTAGTTTCGGTTGTCTCTGGCCAATCATTCTGACTCAGGGTCCTTTCTGGTGGCATGCATATCACTCAGGCACAATGGAGTCTAGCCAGAAGATTTCTGGGAGGTTGGTAGGACAGGCGGACGGGTGTCTCCTGTCTCCTTTTGACCTTTCCTGAATTCTTCCCGTTGGTGGTGGCTTGTTAGTTGCATATTCCTTACCAGGATCTCCTGTCATAAAATAACTCATGAAAATGGTTACTGTTATGCCTGGCCAGGGTGGGCGGTTTCAATCCGTGTTTCCCCTAACAGTCAGGGGACCTGAGGCTGCTTTCTCAGGTATCTGACTGTCAGCCTGTATCCTCATTGCCTCTGTGGTTCTTGAGTACTAGGATAGATAGAGAAGTCTTTTCAGCATGGGGAGATCTGCTGGAGGCTGCTCTGCGACAATTGTTCTCTCCCCGGCATGGCCCTTCGCACCGCAACTGAAGTAGAAGTTATCACCACCACTTGCCAGATTTTTTTCCCTCTAGTATTGTGATATGACTTTGTTTTCTTCCTGTGTCCCCGAATTACCCTTTCCTCCTCCTGATGATTTAGGAAGATAAAACCAATGTTTGCAATTTTCAGAATGCTTATGGTAGGCATGTTACAATACCATGCTATGGCTCTGTTTTGTGCTATTTTAGAAACTGTAATCGCCGTGGCTGATTCATGTCAATGTATGACAAAAACCACTACAATAAAAAAAAAACTGTAATTGTCCCAACATTCTTTTGGTTTCAAGCATAGGCAGGAACTGTGTGAAAACAAAACAGAGAACCCCTCCCCGCAAATTCTTGTGTAATGTTTTTGAAATTGTTTGAAATAATTTTTTAGTGTTTTACCTTAATATGGACATTGTTTTTGTTTACATTTCAAAAAACAAATGTACCCATAAAACATTGTATTTTTTGTTCTTAAGTGTATTATGTAATCTTTATGAATTTATAATATGTGTTTATATTTGCTCATTATATAAAGGATTTTCCTTTATATAATATATAAAATTATATATTATATATATAATATACAGGGGCTTCCCTGATAGGCTCAGTTGGTAAAGAATCCACCTACAATGCAGGAGACCCCAGTTCAATTCCTGGGTCAGGAAGATCCGCTGGAGAAGGGGGAAAGGCTATCCGCTCCAGTGTCCTGGCCTAGAGAATTAACATGGACTGTGGTCGCGAAGAGTAGGCAGTGACTTTAACTTTCTTTCAAATGTATTATGTAATCTTTATGAATTTACAATATATGTTTACATTTGCTCATTATATAAAGGATTTTTTGAAAACTCATTTGTAATACTACAAAGAAAGAATGGCAAATACAAAGGTTATTGTTTTGATTTCATGAATGTTTTCCTTTGATTTGACAAATATGGCAGAAGAGGATTTTTTCCTACCATTAAGTTGCCTGCAACGTATCAGTCTCATAATCTGAAGGTCCTGAGTTCGAACCTCAGAGGGGGCAACGCAAAGCTTTGGGCTTCCCAGGTGGCGCCTGGGGCAAAGAATATGCCTGCCTGCGCAGGTAACAGGCTCAATTCCTGGATCAGGAAGTTCCCCTGGAGAAGGAAATGGTAACCCATTCCAGTATTTTTGCCCCCACAGACAGAGATCCTGGCAGACTACAGTCCATGGAGTCACAGAATAGTTGGACATGACTTAGCGACTAAACAGCAAATTACTGATTCACTTTGCTATACAGTGGAACCTAACAAAACATTGTAAGTTGACTATACTCCATTAAAAATTAACTAAAAAGAGAAAATCCCAAAGAATTCACAAAAATAAGCTACGAGATCTAATAAACAATTTAACCAAAGTTGCAAGATGTGGTACGCGATCAACTTTTTAATGTGATCAAGTGCATCCATTAAAAAGCCTATAGCTAACATCACACTTAAATAGTGAATGACTGAATGCTTTCTCCTTACGACTGGGAGCAATGTAAGGTTGTCTACTGTTGGGAAAGGCAGTCAAGTGCAGCTTCTTGCCCCTTGCGCAGTTGCACAAGAGTGACCTTGGGTCTGGAACATTTCTAGCAAAGAGACAAAGAGCCCTCACAGCCTGAGCTAGGCATATCGCTTCGGGAATATCTTTCCCTGATCCAGACTTAACGGGTACTTCTTTGTTCTGTTTATGGGTGTGTGTCCTATGGCACCTGGCTAACCCCACTGCTGTATCTGTTCCTGGAGGGGAGATAAAGGGGTCTTTCAGCTGCAGCACAAGTGGGGGTGTGCAGACCATCTTGTGTCAGCAGCTGGGAAAACCCTGCTGACCATGAGGGATGGCACTCAACTGTTGAAGCTGGTCTTGCTCTGTCTCTTCTCTACGTGAGGAAAGCGGTATCCCATTCAGCACCTATGTGAAGCGTGTCTTTCTCTGCTACCCTGACACCTGCACCCCATGCAGGATTGACACCCTGGAATTGTTGCTAGCCAACAGGTGTCACTTGTTTGCTCTCTCCTCTCCTGTTACACATCATACTTAACACCTACTCAGTAAAATGAGACAAGAGAAAGAAGCAAAAGGCATACAGATTGGAACAGAAGAGACGAAACTTCCCCTCTTCTCAAACAACTTGATTTTCTACATAGAAATTAAAAAAGAAAAAAGCTCCCAGAACTTGTAAATACTTAGTTATGCTGCAAGATACAGGGTCAATAGACAAAATGAATCATATGTCCATATGAACATCACACTAACTTGAAACCAGAAAAATTCAAATAATACCATTTAAGTAACTTCAAAATAATGAAATGTAGGGATAAATCTAACAAAATACTGTGCTGTGTCTGTATGCTGAAATCTACAGAACACTTATGGAAAAATAAAAGAAATATAATTAAATGGTGAGGCATGTCAGGTATATGGATTAGATGATTCAGTATATTTAAGATGTCAGTCATTCCATAGTTGAATGACAGACTTTACACAATTCTATTCAGAATATCAGCAGAATTTCCAATGTATATATACACAAGTTGATTTTAAATTTTTATAGAAACTTAGGAACTAGAATACCTAAAATAATTTTTAAAAGAAGAAGAAATTTGGTGCGTTCACATGACTTCACTTTAAAATATGAAACTTCAGTGATCAAGGCAGTATGGTATTAGTGAAGGGATAGGCATCATGCAACAGAATAGAAAGTCCAGAAATAGATTCATTCAAATTAGACCAATTGACTTTTTGCAAGGTTACGATCACAATTTGATGGAGAAAAGATAGTATTTTCAACAAATAATGTTGGAACAATCGGACACCCACCTGTAGAGACAGAACTCCAACCCCAACCTCACACTTTATACAAAAAGTTACTGAAAATTTACCATATATCTGAATGTAAACATGGAGCTATAAAGCTTCTAGAGAAAACACAGGAGAAACATGGGAAAAAATCTTCATGACTTGCAGTTAAGCGAACAGTTCCTAGACACGTCATCAAGTGTGATCCATTAAATAAAAAATAGATAAGCTGGAACTCATAAAAATTAAAAACGTTTGCTCTGTGAATGATGAAAAGGCAAGACAAAAGCTGGGAAAATATATATTTGAGATGTCCAACAGAGGACATCTGTCTAAAATG